CATTGTGCTGGTGACGTGCGAGCCGCGGAGCAAAGCTGCAGAGCACACGGGCAGCGGGACAGTCCAGGCGCACCACGGCTGTCCCACTGCTGGCATGCTCCGAGGCTTTGCTCCCCATCTCCCTGGTCTGCTGGTCGGGAGACGGGGAGCAAAGCCGCGGAGCACGCCAGCAGCGGAACAGCCCAAGCGCGTCTGGGCTGTCCCACTGTGGGCGTGCTCCAAGGCTTTGCTCCCCGTCTCCCTGCAGACCAGGGAGACGGGGAGCAGCTTTTCTCACCCCGGAGGACGAGGGCAGCAGACCGCGGCGCATCTGGGCGTCCCACCGCTCCCGTCCTCCGGGGCGAGAAAAGCCCCGTTCGTAACTGCGGATCCGACATAATTCGGATCCGCGTAACTCGGGGACTGCCTGTATCACTAGGCTTAACTATCACTAGAATCTGTGGTCTGTTCCCATACATATTGGTATATTGAGAACCATGATTTTCTGAATTTACACCCATCTGACAGAACAGGTTTAGTAATGTATTATGGTCAGAGCTTAACATAAGAACCTAAGCTTAAGATGGTGTATGAACTGGTTTAGTTCTATTAACCTCTTGCTGCAAAATGTCACCACAAAAATAACGAATGCATCAAAATACATATGAGAGCAAAACAAAGATTGTGCAGCCTTTAGTCTGGGCTTGTCTACAATGATACAGCGGTGCAGTTGCATTGCTGTAGTGCCTCAGCACAGACACTATGTGTGCCAGTGGGAGCAGTTCTCTTATCAGAGCAGGTAAATCTGCCTCTCCAAGAGGTAGTAGCCATTTCAATGGAAGAATACTTCCATTAATCTAGCACTGGCTATACCAGGTGTTAGGCTGACTCAACTACACTGCTGAGGGGTACGTGGATTTTTCTGAGCAAATAAATTGAGACAATTAATCAGGCCTGTATAAAGTAGACCAATGTCATTTAAAACTTTTGAGTGTCTGACTTTATAACATTAATAGTTTTGTAACACCAGGTTTTATTACATGTAAAAAAGTACAGAAGTATAAATTGAACAATCCTAATGGCAAGAAATGTCATAGACTACTATGGATAATTTACAGAGAGAACGGGAGGAGAGGGTCCGCGAGAAGGACGGGTGGTGCCGCAGCAGCCTCCGGGGGAGCGGAGGCGAACGCCGCTGTCAATGGCGAAAGAACCAGCCAGACGGAGAGCTGGGAAAACAGGTACCGACGGGGAGGAGGGATAGAGGAAGTGGCCCAGGGCAGAGCGAGGAACCAAGCCCATGGGCTAACGCATTTAGGGTCTCAACCCTGTTAGCTGGACTAGGACTGCAACGTGGTCCAAGTCCTTAGGGCCCTGGGCTGGGGCCTGCGAGTGAGGGCGGGCTCGGGCCCCTCTCTCTCCCCCGTCTCAGGCCAAGACAAACTCCAGAGAGTCGCTGAGGTACGCCTCACAACGCCGATCGGACGGACTCGCCCGGCTAGGATTAAAGGGAAAAGTGCAAGACTTGGGGGCCGGGGGGAGGGGAGTCTAACCTACCCGCCCCGAAGAACTGTCACACTGCCCATTTTGGCTAATAAGTATTAATGGACATAACCTCCATGAATTTATCTAGATCTTTTTTGAACCCTGTTAAAGTCCTGGTTTTCACAACATCCTCTAGCAAGGAGTTTCACACGTTGACTGTGCACTGTGTGAAGAAAAATCTCCTTTTGTTTGTTTTAAACCTTCTACCTATTAATTTCATAGAGTTTGTATTGGCAGTGGAATAACCAGGAAGAGGGACTAGAAATACATGTGCAGGTAATAGATTAGAGAGAGGGAGTGAAAATCTGTGTCCATTTAAGTCAATGGAATTTTTGCCATAAAGGAGCCAAGATTTCACTTTTCGGGTGTATATACATCTCATATAGGTATTCAGACACACACACCCTAATTGCCATAAAGGAGCCAAGATTTCACTTTTCGGGTATATATACATCTCATATAGGTTTCTCCCTCTACTTAGTCTCATATGTGTTACCTTTGCTTTCCATGAACATTTTACTACTATTAATTTGTAGACAGGAATAATCTAAATCCACTGAATCCAATATCAATTGAAGTCAATGGGGTACTTGGCTTTGATGCATGGACAAGGATATAAATGAAACTCCCAGAGATGTGGTACCAGACTAACTTTCATATATAAATACCACTACTTATAAGAATGATTCATAAACAAAATGCACTTCCAGTCATACGCGTTAGCAGGGGGTATGCTCAGGCACACCCTAGTGTCTCCAAAAAAAAGTGGCTTTGCATTTTAATTTAATCGCATGATATGCTCTTTTAAGTAAAGTTTAGTTGTTAATTTAAAAAAAATAAGTTTAGTTAAGTTTTAGGTTATTTAGTTTGTTTGATGAATAAAAATAATGTCCTTTATGATTGAGTATTCAACAAATGTTCGCCTTTAAAAAAAATAAATTCCCTGGGTGCACACCCTAATGAAGTGTGCTGCACACACCTATGCTTCCAGTCCACCGAACTGTGGCTTCTTTCAAAGCTAATGGGCAGGCCTATTAACTTTAACTTTAAATTTTATTTAAAGAAATGCAGTGTATGATAGATGTAGAAATGCAGTACTTTAACTTTAAAAATGAGCATTTAACTTGATTTAAAAACTTAGACAGCATCTATAATTTGCAATGCAATCCCTTTTATGGTTTATTAAAACAAGCGTTAGTGAAGCATTATTTTAATTTTATACAGCTGAACGGTCTCAGAAAAATTTATGAGTGCAACAGATGTTTCTACTGGCTCATTTAGGCTGCTTATCTTTACATTCCTCTCAGCTGATGAAGAGCCCTTCTATATATGACAAGGAGTTCCTTTTACATCACAGTGGTACAGTTGGTTCAAAACACCATTTACACTCCTAAAAGCCTGGTTTGTATTTAGCTATAAGTGGTACAGTTGGTTCAAAACACCATTTGCACTCCTAAATGCCTGGTTTGTATTTAGCTACCCTGTACAGAACTTAAACTTGCTTTATGAAATTAGTGATGTAGTTTCACATTAGATCGGGTAAAATTTACCATGTGAAAAGGACTAGTGCAAGAGGCCTGTGTACCACTTAAATTCTACTTAAAACTTTTTTGAGGGTATAAGTACCACGTACACTGTGTGATGACCATTTGTGCTGGGAGAAGTTTCACTCAGATTTTTCCTCCTTCCATTATTTTTTTAAATGGGGCATATTACTAAAGTAGAAAGAGGGAGAGAATCAACCTCCTAACAGTCAAAATGAATCTCAAAAGACTTCTGTCACTACTTTACCTCCTAACCATACTTGTTCCATACAAAGTTTTAAATGATATGTTTATGAAATACTAAAACAGGAGGAGGAGGAGTGGTATAATAGTGTAACCCACACACTTACTGGGTGTGGTTCACTGTCCCATGTAATGGTATTACACCATTTACAGAGAGAAAGAATGAATGA